AGTAATGTTTAGAATACAAATTCATTATTCGACCAGATTTATTCTACGAACTTAATTTGTGACAGTCAGTGTTCTCCAAAACACATTTTAGCAACAAAGCAATGTGATGCCATATTGCTTGAGTGCGATGCTATATTGCTTGAGTGTGATGCCATATTGCTTAATTGTAATGCCATATTGCTTGAGTGTGATGCTATATTGCTTGAGTGTGATGCCATATTGCTTAAGTGTAATGCCATATTGCTTGAGTGCAATGCTATATTGCTTGAGTGTGATGCCATATTGCTGGAGTTTGATGCTATTTGAAATGATCTTCTTTATAGATTGTGTTATGGATGTGATAGTGTAATTTTTAGAAACATAATATTTCAAAATTCCCTGTTAACCAGGATGTTATATAAGGTTTGTGTGAAGAACACTGTCAGTATTATCATTCTTAACATGCAGCACTTAATTAACACATGCCTTTTTTGAAAACCAGAGTGAACGGCAGTTTATATCTCTTCAGTGGCGGATCCAGAGGGGGGCGTAGAGGGCGTACCCCCCCCCCCCCCCCTTTGCTTGAACTCTTTTTTTTTTATTGTAAAATGATGAATCAGACTAGACTTCGTGAACTTTGCCATTTCCCGGTCGTGTATTTAATTTTTATGCGACAATTCTTTACTTATCATGCTTATAAAGATATTTTTCGCTTGTATTTACTGTAATATATTATTGATTATGTCAGTCATATGTTTCGCTACGGTGGAGTTGATCTGTACTTTTGAAACGTCACTCAGTCATTTTGAAATTCAAATTACAGTAACACATTGCTTAGGCGGAGGATGATAAGCATGACGCCTTCAAAGCGACAAAGGATTGAGCAAGAACGTATTGACTTCTATTTCATATTTCCACTCAACAGAAAGTAATACTCTATTACACTCTCATGAAGAAAAAAAGTTCCACGGCAATATTATTTACCTACGAAAATATGTTTAACCCCACACGCCCCAGCCAATTAATAACATTGCTGAATAATGATCCCCAGTCGGTAAGCTCTAGATATATTTAAAGTCTAAGGTACGGACCATTTGATTTGATAGGGCAGTCTGAGATATTTTAGAGAAAAAATTCTTACCCTGATTTTTGCCTTAAACAAAAATTCTATCCGTATCTGTAATGAAAACAATTATCGTGTTCCCTTTTTTGCTATAAGAAAAAAAAATCCAACAGAATTATTCAGCATTAAATGAACATGGTGAATAAAAAACGGGCGTAATTTTTTTTTTTGGGGGGGGGGGGTTGCATGTAAATCCCATATCTGACCGGAATGTCTGTTTCGCCGAACTGGTATACTGAATACTTTTTTCAAGGCCCAACTGCAACCTGCCTGCTGGGTGTGGCCTTTATGTCTCCATTTGTCGACCGTCATTCACAACTTCGTTGTCATTTGATTTTCAGACTCATTCGTAGCCGTTGGTTGATTTGGAACCCCTCACTTCCCTTGTTGAGTGAAACATTTCAACCAAAAATTTGGATAAAAATTGCTTGTTTGTCTTTGTTCGTGTCGGTCGTATTATAAACTTCAATGAATAGCCTTATATCATGTTTACAACAAGCAGTGGCGTAGCTACCATTGACGCAACGACGCACTTGCGTGCACAAATGTAATGGCCCCAAAAAAAATCATAATTAAAAAATCATAGCAGTCAAAAAAAGAAAGAGTGCGATTGACTGTCACTTTGTATATATAGGTGTTTCAACTTGTCAGAAAGGTTTCCGTGTTTTCTATCAGTTCAGTTTTGTTGTGCGTACATCGGTACATGTATATACAATTTTTAGACCATCTACTAATTTAAAACGAACTACGAGATCGTCTTGTCAATTCGGAAGAACGTTTTCTTGCCCAGATGCTTCTTCCAAACAATCTGAAAAGTTTGAATCGGGACCATCAAATTCGCATATTTCGCGCCTACGAGTCCGATATTCAATCAGAAGATCAGTTTCTTCTCAAAATTAAAAGGTGGGTTGCGCGATGGAATATTTATCCATCTAAGAAACCAGACCATCTCTGTGCAACACTGAAGATGACGCCGAAAGAACTTTGCCCAAATATATTCTGTATTCTGCAAATACTTCTCACCATGCCACCCTCAACCTCTACTGCTGAACGCTCTTTCAGCGCTCTGAAACGCGTAAAAACGTATCTGAGATCGCCCATGGGACAAGAAAGACTTTCTTCACTTGCACTGCTGCACGTTCATTCTGATTTTGACATTGACACTAAAGAAGTTATTGACACGTTTAACAATGCTAGGTAAATGAAAATGTTACTCTCCTAAAGGACCTCGGTTGTTAACTTCAGTCTTACATACGGTCTTACATACGAACGTCACATTCATATATCACCAAATTAAAAATTCATTGTTTGAATTGCTTTGTTTTCGTATGTTAACATATATGTCATGAGAGGATCCAGTTCTCTAGCCCTTTCTTTCTTTGAAGCATAATAAATTGGCGAGCATTGCAAAGTTTTTAGAATTTTTTAGTCAGTTTTAGGTCTTTGATTTGATATACTAGTATAGCAAAACACTCAACTGTGCATACTTCACTTCAAAATTAACCATCTTAGATCGAAAAAAGATTCATTTTCTGTAAAAAAGGGTCCAAAATTTTTTTCACCTCGCTCCGCTCGGCGAAAACTTCTGCGTGCAGATCATTATAAGTCTAGCTACGCCACTGACAAGTAATCTGTGAGGTTATGCTAACTAACCATACAACAAACGAGAATTTTCCATGTCCATTTTTTACTGACAAATCCCACATCAAATATATTAGTACATAGCTTTAGATCCATTCAATCATTTTATAATAGACAACTAATGGGGAGAATGCGGCATCAAAAATGTCCAACCCAAGCTTACCGGCACTTTAACTATAAAATATACATACCCCACGTTAGGAACCATCACTAAAAATGTGCATTTTCACTTATTTTATGTTTTGTAGCCAAAAAAAAGGTCGAACAAAATTTTCATACTACGCCCCCCTTTCCAAAATCCTGGATCCGCCCCTGCTCTTTTAGTCTATGGTTTAGCTGATGCAAATTATTTGATGTATTTTTCTTTAAAATTTGCTAGTGGATTATATCATTACCATTTCATACATATAAAATTGCCTATTAGGAAACACTTTAATAATCTCCTAACATCATTCAGACTGGCAGACATTTAATGTGACCAGATTGATTTCCCTTAGTAAAGGGGGAGCTTGTATACTTAATATTGACATATACTATACTGAAGGCAGAAACCTTTTTTGAAGAAAAATTATTTTGTACCAGTGTTCAGAAAGGTTTTTAAATTATCAAATGTTAAAAATTCATTGTGAAAAATCTAATTCATCAGTCATAGTGCAACTATCAATCATTTTACCAATTAAGGTAAAGGAAACTAACTCAAACTCACTTAATTGTTCTAACAAAAATTATGGGGTCTCTTTTTAAAAATATGATTATTCCCCCTGTACACATAAACAAATTGGAATATATATGGTCAATACTAAAGGTATGCCAAATATTAATTTGACATGTATTCAATATTGAAATTTAATTGCCAAAGACCTCTATTTGTAGTTTAAGATTGGGAATTATGTCCCTTTCGTTGAAACTTTTACATTCATCATAAAAATAAGACAAGTAAGAAATTTGACATCATCAGTATGCAACAAACTTTCTGTTTAATGTAATCTTATTAAGATTTATACATTGTATACCAATACTATTTGAATTTTATTTGATATACATGTATTTAACCAATTAAATGACAAGAACTGAGAACATTTTTGGTTATTTGGGCCTACATTGTACATGAAGGATGAATCTCCCATTAAGTCTGACTTGTGAAATCATTATTTCCTCATATTATGTTCATCTAATGTTGTGATATTTGCACAGTTGACTTCAGAAAAATCGAACCTTACTGACTATATATATAAATATAATTAATACTACAGTGATATTGTTTGCCTTAAATTAGTGGAGAATAAAGGCTTTTTCCCCTGGAGAAGAATCCCAATTTGAAAAAAAAATGGCTTAAAATTATTCCCAAAAAGACAACTTTTTCCCAAACAGTGCAGTCTCAGAAGTAATTGTGCATGAATACAAACTGAAAAACACTCATTTATACATTTTTCATGCCTAAAATGACTGTATGTGCAGATTTGAGGGTCTATTTATGTATCATCACTGACAAAAAGGGGTCTTATTTCAAAGCAGGGTTTGACTCTTGAAAGGGTAAATTGAAGTTTCAGTCAAATTCATGGTTTATTCTAAATTTCCCAATTTGATGAAAATTACGCATATTTTCCCAATAAAAAAGGGTAGAGGTAGTTTTGAAAAAAGCCAACAATATCACTGTACTAATGCTCACATGCATTTGCTTTTCCCTCTTCAGTTTGTAAACCCATATTTTCAATTTGTTTATCAGCTGCTTTGATGCCCTTAAGCAGACACTTGCTGCCAACCTTAAGCCAAGGGCACATTATCAATGGAGTCTCATGTTTATATCATACTCTTCCAGCAACACAAATTTATTGATCATGTACATACAAAGTATGATATACAAGCTGAGGCGGGGGCTCGGGCCCCCTTTTGGAGCTTCATATACAATGTATGATAAATGCATAGACTTTTAACAAGTATTACTACAAACCTTGGATTACCAGGGTCCCCCTTTCTCAAAATCCTGGATCTACAACCAACAAGTTTTAATAAATTGAAAATCAACACAAATATTAAAATGAATGCAGAAGATATTCATTCTTTATTGTCATTAAGTTTGTACCCTGGGAGAAAATAAAGTTGTTCCATTTGACATGTTTGAATAACGAATTAAATATTAATTTTAATATGTGGCTGAAATTGACATCAACATGTTGATCTCTTATATTTACTTTGAAAAAGTGGTGCTCCCTGAATTTAAAACAAAAGTTTAATATATAATCATGTGACAGTATACCTGAAGAAGACTAAATTGCTGGACACACTGCTTCTACATGAATATCCCAAATCAAATGTGAGTGTGGGGCCATTGGTTTTAATGACAACACAAGTTTCTACTCCTGAAATTGACCATGGAAAAACTGAATAGTTCCCAATCTGCAACCACTCATCTGTCATCTTAGTTTTGTATTTTGTTTTGATTCGGACAAAAGTTTTGTTGTTAACGGAAAAACTTGAGACTTTGTTTTGGGCGGTTCTACTTGCAACGTTTGAGAAGAATTGTGCACTGTCGGTGAGACATGTTCTTACAACATGTCCTGAAAGTTTGCAGAAAGTATTTGAAATCATATGTAACTATTATTATCATTTAGTAAACAAAAAATCGAATCGATAAGTCTAGAAGCCTTCCGATTGAAGGCGCGAATAATATTCAAGTCATTCCCGAATATTAAATTTCATGTTCAAATTCCGTGTTTTTAGGAATAAGTCTAGTTGCAAATTATTGGAGTCTTTGACATTTGTTGGTAGAAAGCTTGAATACAAAATATATATGTCTTAACCGAAAATTAAAAAAAAGTGTTTCCTGTGCAAGCTTTAAGTTTTCCTGGGGCATCAGTTGTTTTGTTTGATTAAACCAGTAGCATATATACATGTATTTCAGTCATGGTGATGTCATAGTTCTCCAGAATAAATTACAGCTGGGAAAATTGGCATTCGGACAAAATTGCATACAAAATTATATTTGCAATAAACGCGAAGAAACTAGATTATGATCAATGCTCCGTGTTGTAGGCCGTACCTTGACATATAATGGTTTACTTTTATAAATTGTAACTTGGATGGAGAGTTGTCTCATTGGCACTCATACCACATCTTCCTATATCTATGAATGGAAAAGTAGTTTTCAGTTTTAGCCACTCGTCACGTTTGCCTGAAAATTAGGATTTATCAGTGAATTGAAAATGGAAAATCATACGACGTATACATCTTTGAGTAATCTAAATACAAAGGTTTAAAGTTTTGAACGGTAGTGTCTGATTAAATATACGTGATAATTCGTTAAAACCTGTACCTCTGTTAACTTGATCAACATATCCTTTTTTCTATATTTAGGTTAATAAATACAACTTACGGCAAACGACAGTAGCTTAGCCTAGAATCTCCAAACAAATAGATTATTGCTTTTAAACAAGTTAGCCTGTCAAAAATCAATAAAATCTTGACGTTGTCGTTTTGAATTATTGCAGATATATTTATGTGTTTGTATATTTAGAGAAATGTACAGCAACAACTTCTTAAATATTTAAATGCTAGTAGAATGTAAGTGTACGTGGGGTGTATTGATTAAACCATGGAAGTAAAATAAAGTCAATATAATACTTCCATGATTAAATTGATTGATTGTTGGTAAATAATTGTCCAGCGGAAAATAGTCTGTGGATATTTAGAACATGAATTGTTTTCGCCCTGAATGACAATATTTGACATGGAGACTCAATTTTGTCATAGACGGAATATGACGATAAACCGATAATATATAAGTATCGATTATTTTTTGTGATTCGCGTGGAAATAAGGGAATAATGGCATACAACTGGACAACGATATTTCATTGCCATGAAGTTATAGCAGGGTCAGACAATTCATCCTTTTGTAGCACCCACGATTTTAAGTAGCACGATTCTCTTCTTTAACACTCAGTTATGGTCCGCTGCCATTTTAAGCTCCCTTGTTTTAACGGGTCATGTGATCTTTTTTCATCACTTGGCATCCGTCGTCTGGTGTCAGTCGTAAAGTTTTTCAAAGATCTTCTCCTCTGAAACTACTGAACCAAGTTTAAACAAACTTGGAATGAATAATCCCAAGTCAGTCAACAAACATGGCCGCCATGGCTAAAAATAAAACATATGGATTAAATGCATTAATTGTCTTATAACTTGGAAAACCATAATAGATAAAAAAGAAAATCTGTCTGTGGCAAAAATTCTTAAATTGTCAAAATCTACCTTCTTTCTATTTTCACCAATATTATCAGATGAATCCTTTAGTTATATGATCCTAAGGTGTTATTGCCCTTAGCGGACTATTTTTTACTAATTTTCATATCTTTGCCCATTATCTCAAAAATTATGTTAACACGTTTAACCCCGCCGCATTTTTGCGCCTGTCCCAAGTCAGGAGCCTCTGGCCTTTGTTAGTCTTGTATGTTTTTTTTTATTTTAGTTCATTTATATGTTTTGGAGTATAGTGTGACGACCAATTTAATTGGACTAGTACACATGTTTGTTTAGGGGCCAGCTGAAGCCCGCTTCCGGGTGCTTGATTTCGTCTCGCTGTGTTGAAGCCCCATTGGTGGTCTTTGGCTGTTTTTTGCTCTTTGGTCGGGTTGTTGTCTCTTTGACACATTCCCCATTTCCATTCTCAATTTTAGACAGGTAGAAACTGTGAAAAGCAAAGATGATCAGCAATACAAAATCTACAACTAGAGACTCTTTTTTATATAAATATCGTCATTTAAGTGCAACAACTCCTATAGAGAGTTGACTGACAATTTGGGCTATGTTCACCTATATTTGTAAGTCTTGTTTTCCTGGTCATTTTTACTGTTTACAGCTTTTCTTTATCATCAAAATGTTATAACTTTTACAAAGAGTTTACTGAAAATTTCGGCCATCCTGACATATCATAGAAATTGTCCTACTGATCATGTTTCACGCGGCATCTAAAGTTTCTATCTATCTATTATAGTTTTCTAGATACTAGACAAAAACGCGAAATTAATAAATATGTCATTTAAAGGCAATCACTCCTACAAGGATTTCGGCCATTTTGACTTATTTGTATATTTTGCCATGTTGATCAATTTAGATGTTGAAGGTATTTTTCTTTCTGTTATAGTTTTCAAGATAATTGCAAAAATGAAAAAAAAGAGGTAAAAATCGTCATTAAAGGGCAATCAATCCTGTAAGAAGTCGTCTGGATGTTGGACGTGTACTGATTGATATTTTAGTCTTATATACATGATATTTTTATTAGTTGTTATTGGCTTTGAACTTGCTTTAAGATACTGCAAGTACTCTCAGATCTGTACTTTGTCTTTTTTGTTGTGGGAGATAAATTCCCTGCCACGTCCGGTCTGTGTTTTGTAAGTTGTTTTCTCTGCTTTGTATCGATCCGACGAGTTGAGCCCTTTTCAACTGATTTTTATAGTTTGTTCTTATGTTGTAGTGTTACATAACTGTCCCAGGTAAAAAAAGGGGGGGGGGTTGGCGCCAGAAAACATGTTTAACCCCGTCACATTCTGTATGTGCCTGTCCAAAGTCAGGAGACTGTAATTTAGTGGATGTCGTTTGTTGCTGTATATCATATATTTTTTCCTTCATTGTTTTGTACATAAATCAGGCCGTTAGTTTTCTCATTTTTCATTTGGGGCCTTTTACAGCTACTACGCGGCATGGGTTTTGTTCATTGTTGAAGGCCGTACGGTGACCTCTATATATAGTTGTTATTGTCTACGCCATTTGGTCTCTGGTGGAGAGTTGTCTCATTGGCAATCATACCACATCTTCTTAATTTTATAATGACAGTTTTTATGAGAATAGACAGTAGGTAGATCTCGTCATTGGAAAAATGTATATAGATATAAGAAGATATGGTATGAGTGCCAATGAGACAACTCTCCATCCAAGTCACAATTTGTAAAAGTAAACCATTATAGGTCAAAGTACGGTCTTCAACACGGAACCTTGGCTCACACCGAACATGCCACTATCTGTAGTACAGTAGTTGTCGTTGGTTCGTGTCTTTCATATTTGTTTTTCGTAAATTGTTATAGGATTAACACATTTGTTCTAGGGGTTATCGATGTGAAAACTGGGACGATTAACTCCTAAACTTTGATTGCCTAAGAGACAAATGTCAATCAAATACCAATGGACAAGGATGAAGATCAAATCTTTATAACTTTATAGAAATGACGATTGAGAGACCCTTTAAAAAATTAAAGGGGGTGACTGAAAAAGAGCAAAAGCTTTATTATTTTCAAAATTATTCTTGACTTATGCCGATGACAAGTCTGTATACAAGATGATAAAGTTAGAGGGTCGAGCAAAAAAATATCATAGGTGAGAATGCAGGAAAGCAGAACATTCATTATTTAATCAGCATTGAATGTTACCATATACGATACCTATATATAAGGTAGACTAAAAACCTGCAAATGACTAAATATCCATTTCAAGTTTCAAACTTTCATGATATTTGTAATTTCATTTGATACAATATTTTTATGTCTTTTTTTCAAAGAATTATTGGATATTTTTTATTTATCTTTTGTAGGCTAATGACAAGCGCGTCCCGGGCTTAGTTATAAGAAAGTAGAACATCCAAGTGTAAGTGTTTTGAAATGTTCATGCTGGTGTTATAACTCATTTTTAAATGTAGTTAAATATCAATAAAGAATATGAACAGACTATCTTTGGTAGATAGTTGTCTACCAAAGATTAAATTGTATTTACTCATTTTTTTTGAAGTTTGAAAAACTATAACCATTTGACATGAAAGGAGGACAAGTTGAAGCAACTATTGTTTTTTCTGTGGACTAATGGAAAACTTTTTTAAATCATTTTATTATTCATGTAAAGGAAAGGTTGGTGCCTACTAAAGAACAAGTCAGCATGCACTTACGAAACAACATGTTAATTCTGATCCGTTGTGTGATCACCGTTTTTGTATATGATGCCATTTTAAATGGTCTGACCCGGCATCATCGACATAAAAAAAGTTCTGAATAATTAAAATAAACTCAAGCAGTTATAAATTCATACAATGGCATCCTATGCTCTTCTTCGTCTAGTCCGTAGATAACAATCCTCTCACCCATGTTTGGCGTTTCAAAGGTGAAGTCCCAATATTTTTTGCCAATTCGTTTGAATTTGTGCTTTCTTACCATCACTGCAATCATATTTTCACATGTTATCTTTATAGTTATGTTTTTATTACATGGCAAGATTTGGCTGAGCGGCTGAATTAAGTGGCATTTTAATTCTCTAGCATGGCGCAGTGTTTTAGGATATGGGTAACAAGGTTTTGACGGATGTATGCAATTTATCAAGCAATTGATAGCCTCTCTGTAATTTCCCTTTTCATTTTTGAAAGACAGGGTGAGTTTATAGTATCCACTTTTAGGAAATTTAACATTAACTACCATTGATTTTGGAATTGCCTGTATCATAACAAAATCGTCCATGTTCGGTAGTTCTCCATGTGAATATGTCAGTCTTGCTGTAACATCTACGTCGTAATCGACTGGAATTATAAGGTCAATGAACCCGTCGTGAACTTCATAGAATGGTCGTATGTCGGCACCTCTACTTATTCCAAAGTC